TGTATATGTATGTATATGTATATGTATATATGTATATATGTGTGTATATATGTGTGTGTATATATGTGTATATGTGTATATGTATATATATGTATGTATATATATATGTATATATATGTATGTATATATATATATGTATGTATATATATGTATGTATATGTGTATGGGTGTATATGTGTATGTATGTGTATATATATGTATGTGTGTATATGTATATGTATATATATGTATGTATATGTATATGTATATATATGTATGTATATGTATATGTATATATATGTATGTATATGTATATGTATGTATATATATGTATGTATATGTATATATGTATATATGTATGTATATGTATGTATGTATATGTATGTATATGTATGTATATGTATGTATATGTATATATGTATGTATATGTATATATATATGTATATATATGTATGTATATGTATGTATATGTATATAGCATAAATTTATTTTATTCATTATTAAGGTACATGGCCTAAGGATAGTCAACTTAATATCTACGTGCATCCGCTATACACAAGACAAGTATTTGTTTTTTTTAGAAATTGAACCCAAGACCTTCGGATTGGAAGGAAAGCATATTAACAACCAATATATACAGCTCCAAAATACATACCGTTAAAACTCGAATTGAAGTCCCCCCCCCCCTCTTTAACTTGCAAAATTTGCCTCGAAAAGAGGCGCATGGGCCTCTTTTCAAGATAGCATAGGCTTCTTTTCGAGATAACAGTACATACACTGTACATGAATTTCAGAAAACAATATAAATTAAATACAAGCTTGGTTATGAAGTAGTTTGTGATTTAATGCCAGTTAAATACACTCCATGATACAGATTGATGTTACAGTGCCCTTATTTATTGTTTTATATTTCAAATTCACAAAATTTACGGCATTCACTTTGAAAAGAACCCCCCTCCCCTCTTTACTTTGGAAAAGTAGCTTCGAAAAAAAAAGCCCATTTAAAAAAGGAAGCCCATCAAAAGTTCAATTCAAAAAAGGCTTCAATTCGAGGTTTTACGGTATGTAAATTCATTAACTGTTAAGGTCTACAAATATAAACAAAACAGACTAAGCTCGGACTGTGTATGTATGTATGTATATATATATGTATACATATATATATATATACATATATATATGTATGTATATATGTATATGTATATATATACATACATACACATATATATATATATAATGTATATATATATACATATATATATATATACATGTATATATATATATATATATATATATATATATGTAAGTATATATGTATATATATCTAAGTTATAGATTCCAGGTTTCAAATTAAAGGATCCACACCTGAAGTTCTGGACGACTTTCACTGGTACTGGGTATTTATATTGCGCCTTTCCCTTGCGGTTTTAAGGCGCAGGCGAAGCCTCACAAATTCAAGAAAACAATGGTAGGCATAAAATCAGTCATTATTCAGGAATACCCCAAGCATCACAATAGTACAGTCACACAAACAACAAAGAAAAATAAACAGATTTGAGATAATCTTTATGTTGTACGTGTAGGAATACGTTGGTCGAGAAAACAATATAAATAGTGAGGAGAAAAACCATAGATACATTTGTAAACAGAGAATAATTTTGAAAATAATTTTATAATTAACTCGCAGCCAATGAAGTTCATTGATGAGCCGGGAGCAGAGTGTCTACGAGGATCACATGAAAAGACCAAGCGAGCAGCATAGTTTTGCAATTTCTGCAGCCTATGAATATCTTTCTTGAAGAGACCACCATAGAGCGAGTTACAATAGTGAATTCGCTATAATACGAGGGCTCTAACTGCTGCATGACACGTAACTTGCTTTGGTTAACAAATCTTCGAATCCTCCACAAGTTACAGTACGCAAATGGTAACGCACATTACTACATAACTTACTCGCATGAGAACTTAAATCCAGTGTGGAGTCAAATGTAACATGTTACGAGCACTATTAGAGGCCTTTATGAGGGATCCACTAACAATAAAGTACAGACAGAATCCAATATATTCTGCTATATTGGCAGTTACAAAATTGATAAATAATGCCGCCTATCCCATGGCACCAAATTAAATAGGTTTGTGCTTTGTAGCCCTTGCCGAAATGCGCGGTATAAATTCCTGTACAATCATGTAGGATGAAAAAGCGGTTAAGGCTGGGGTGCGGCAACGCACAGCCATAACGGCACACTCGCCTATTGTTCTGGTGTTGGAGCAAGTCTTCTGATATAAGGACTATAAACCGTAGGCCTGTACAAAATGTGGGACACAGTACACCTTTTGAGACTAGGGGTTACCCTGGTGTATAATTGTCCATTCAGCCCCTGTTATGGACAGAGAGAATAGCTGGTAGGACTACCTGTTTACCGGTTAGGTCAGACACTTTATAACTACATTATTGGTCATGTGTGTATGTGTACGTAAAAGAATAGTAACAGCGATGCCCTTCAACGAAGAGTTCCTTTTTCAGTTGTGTTAATAAGTGTCTGTAGCGGGATTCGAACGTGCAGCCTCTCACTATCATGGGGAGCATCATACCGTTAGACCATAGAGATCTATACGGTATAGCCGCAAATCGGACCCCATGTGCTCTCATACAACTGACATACGCTCACACATAGGAGCACACACAGTAGAACTCCTAATAAGGGAACACCTTCGGGACCAAAAAAAAGTTTCCCTTTAATGGGGGTGTCACCTGAATTATGGGTATCCCTATTCAGGGAACACTAACCAAAAACATGAAATTGTCCCATTAATAGGGGGTTTTGGCATGTTTTCATATAACGATGACATACAATTCATAATTACTTACAGTAGAATTAAAACTAATTTATAGCAATTTTATTTTTCAAGCAAATACAATTCATTTATTATATGAAATCAGCAGAAATGTAATTAAAACAACAGTAGTTTTGTCTCCAATATTGTTTTATGATACAAGTTAATGAATGAATTAGAATCCTATAAAAGTGCAATGGTTAAGGGTCAAAATTGACAAGATTGGTTTATACAAAGTAACGCATGCAGTATGCCTTACCGATATTCACTCAAAGGATTTGGGGAGAAAATTGTGGTTTATTGCTCAAATTTAAAATTTCAAAATTCAATTTTCAATTTCAATTTCTTCTGAAAACCTCCGGAACAGATAAGTAAAATAGTAAGCCTACAATAACTTTAAAACAATAGAACAATTTCATTAAAAAGAATAAGTTATTCATACATATACCAGAATACTTAAAATAAAACCAAGAAAAAAAATTGGAGAAACTCTCAAAATACAAAATTCAATCAAATCAATAAGAGAAATGAACACCACTTAAACAGATACAAGCAAAACAACAAACCATGAAAATACACCAAACTACTACCAAACAAAGACGGATTATTTAATTAATTCTTTTTGCAATTTTAGTTAAAATATTATTATTATTGTTATTGATATTATTATTATTATTATTATTATTATTATATTATTAAAATGTCATGTTAAAATAACATGACGTTAGGGGAAAATAAAACAAAAGATATTCTCCTTAAGTCCGATTTAGAAAAATTATTATTGTTATTGTTGTTGTTATTATTATTATTATTATTATTATTGTTATTATTATTATTATTAAAATGTTATGTTAAAATAACATGATGTTAAGGGAAAATAACACAAAAGATATTCTCATGTCCGATTTAGAAAAACTATTATTATTATTGTTATTCATATTATTATTATTATTATTATTTATTATTATTTATTATTATTATTATTATTATTATTATTATTATTATTATTATTTATTATTATTACCTAGTCTAACAAAAGCTTGCCCGTGACAAACAGCAGTAGAAAGGTGGTAAAAGTTTGTTAATAAGTTGCTCTAAATGTGTTGATATATAAAGTTGAGTGAATTTTTCTTATTTTGAGACTGTTGAAGTTGTTGTGACACAATAAAAAAAAGTGTCCTCTTAATAGGGGTTATTTGACCATTGGGAACATTCAGAAGGTGTCACTTCCCTTAATAGGGGTGTCCCCTTAATAGGCGTTGGCCGCAGTGTTTAAAAATATATCTCCCCTAGTTTCACGGAAAAGTGTCCCCTTAATAGAGGTGTCTTCTGAATAGGGGTGTCCCAAAGGGAGGGGTTCTACTGTATAATCCTATCAAACAAACCAAAAATGTTCATAACCAGTGTAATAATGTTAATTATTTAATATTATTAATAATTTTTAAATAATAATGATAATAATGATAATGATGATAATGATGATAATGATAATTATAATTATAATAATGATATTAATAATAATGATAATAATAATGATAATAATAATAATAATAATAATAATAATTATCATTATTATTATTATTGTTATGATAATAATATGATGTATGGGCATGTGAGGAAGTGCGTTTACCATATTCATTATATTATGCTGGTAGACATGTATTATTTAATTTTGTTTACAGATGACTACCTACTTACAACTAATACGAGTCAAGTGCATACAGGCAATTTGACATTTGATGACAATGTATATGTGGACAGTAACCTTTCATTGAATGGCACGGTAAATGGAATCTATATTCCAAACAGCCTAGTTTTATCTTCGATTGAAAACCTGCACATCACCGGGAACAAGTCATTTTGGGGGAATGTAACAGTTCTTGGAGATATTAAGATAGCATCCAATATAACCATGAATGAGGTAAGGAAGTAACACCATACAAGTAGAAATGTATACATGCACACATTTGTTTTTCTCTTTTGTGGCGAACTACTAATCAATTTTAAAATAAATGTCAATAATTAAACATTGTTTTTTTAATAATCTTTTCTTTACTCTGA